ATATGCATATTCCATAAAGATGCTCATTCAGCTTATTGTTAGGTTGCTTTTGCACACAGATATGATATAGATGCTCTATAATAAGATTTTACCAATACAGTGGTACCTCAGTTTTCAAACGAAATTCGTTCCGGAAGACCGTTCAACTTCTGAAACGTTCAAAAACCGAAACATTCATTTCCAGAAGCATTTACTCACGGAAAACTCAAAACGGAAGCTGCATGGCATGTTCGGCTTTCAAAAAGCATTGAAAAACTGAAGCAGTTCCTTCTGGGTTTTCGGCATTCAAAAACCCAAACGTTCGACTTCCAAGAACTGAGGTACCGCTGTATATGTAACTTTCACTTTCTCCCCAAACAACTGAAAAGATATTTTGGCAGAGCAGAGCATATCCATCCCATTTAGTCTCCCCCTGTCCCTTTCTGGGTATTTCAGCCTTCTTTCCCCCCCTCTTGGGGTAAAAATAAATTCCATCATTGACTGCAGATAGCTTTGCATGCACCCAACTGCTCTTCACCTCAATGGAAATGGACCTAAAGCGAGGGAATGCCAGGGTGTGGTCCAGGAGAAACATTATCTTGGACACAAAATAAGGTCTGTTTGGGGTTGAAATGGTTGAAAAAAGTTTATATAAAGCTTGTCAGGGTGCTGCCACCTTGTGCTTTGCATACTGATGGGCAGATTTATGTATTTTTACATTTTAGAGTTTTGACCCATGTGCCCAGTGATTGGGGGAAAGTTCAAAGTGCATGGAATGAGAACTTGTCTCAGGGACATTTGTAGAAACTCTCTTGAGAAGCTAGACTGAGGTCCAGAGTGTGGCTTCAAAATTGGCTGGTGTCAACTTAAGGGGTAGAGGAGCACAACGCTCACCCCACCACAAGTCACTTTTTAAAACATGTGTAGGTGCCGCAACACCTGCATTGATGTTGCAAAATGCGTATCCTCGCTCAAACCAAAGCCCTAACTTTTTTAAAAAAAGGTTTCAGCTGTCTCCTAGTTTCTAATTTCCAACATCTTGACTTCATGAGTTGAATTCTGCTGCTTTACTATGGTGCCTACCCAACCCCCCCAAAAAGTTGCCAAATTCAGCAATAGTGTTGTCTAATTTTCTGGGTGTAAGAAGCTGAGTTCATTGAGGGTGTGAGGGAGGCATTTGTGCCCAGTGAGGGATTTGCCTCTGGGGAGCCATCTATTAATTAGCTCAGTGGCTTCCAGAAGACATGCATGACTTTTGACTTTGCTCATTCAAACCCTTGCCAGCCTTCAGAGCATCAGCCACTGACTAACTTTTCCAGTCAGTCTGTAGTGCCTGTGGAAAGCATCATCCAGAGATTCATTGTCTAACAGTTTAGAGCTCTTGAAAACTACATGTAACTTAAGGTCAAAAATCTTGATTGGGATAGCATTCTTCAAATTTGCTAAAATGCATAATCTAATAAAAATATATAAAGCGATGCATAGCCTTCATATGGTTCAGGATATTATGTCTGCGTAAGAATTTAATTTCTGTAGCTGTGCATCAAATATATTTTTCATTATTAGTTTGTCTGTTGGCTTCAATATTATATGTTTTCAACCCCCCACTTTCCCCCTCTTTTTCTTTTTACAGATATTAATGAATGTGAGAACAGGGATGCTTGTCAGCATGATTGCAGGAATACTTTAGGGAGTTACCAGTGTTTCTGCCCAGCTGGCTATCAGGTTATGCCCAATGGCAAAACATGCCAAGGTAAGAAAATAAAGGAAATATTATATGAGAAGTATAACATTTGCACCATCTAGCTCATAAATGCCTTTGCAGACAGAAGCCATGTAGCAGATGTTAGCCTGCTGCAGCTGATGTTGAGACCACTGTAGGTAGAAACTATCTTAAGATATTAATTAATTAAATGATGGTCCTTATTTATGCCTGTGGAATGTATCATTTCAGGGTTCTCTTTTGGGAAGGGCAGAACTGTACTCTCTCCCAGCATCCTTCATTATAATAAGCAAGTGGTATTTTATGCCAGATTTGCATAGCAAAAACCCCCTTATTTATTTCTATGCTTTATTTCCTAAAGCTCTGTCCATCCCTATGCACAGCCTTACGTTTTTATTAGTAGTAAGAAACCTTTGCTGTCTATAGGCTGGGAGAGTTTTCAGTTTACTTGTTACTATGTGGGTGAAACATAACCTGAAATCAATGAGTTGCTTATCTGATGTTATCTGTTGTTTTCCTTTGATAACCAATCAGATATAGATGAGTGCCTTGAACAGAACATCCACTGTGGACCAAATCGTATGTGCTTTAACACGAGAGGAAGCTATCAGTGTATAGATACGCCTTGCCCGCCAAATTATCAACGAGATCCTCTTTCCGGGTATGTTTCCTATTCAGTCGTGTTAGTTTTTCCAGATTGTTTTTCTTTTCTTTTTTATCTCCTTAACATTTGCATAAGAGGCCAGTCCATGGAATAGTCTTATATACACTGCAACTCTTCCTTCTGACCTCAGAAGAGCTCAAATTATGTGTTGGCTAAGTTTCTTCTATGCTTTCACCAGCACACACTGTGCCATGTGTTGCTCCAAAAGAACTCATTGACTCTTTTGGCATAGCCTCCTATAGATTAGGACAGGCATAGGCAAATTTGGCCCTCCAACTGTTTTGGGACTACAATTCCCATCATCCCTAGCTAACAGGACCAGTGGTCAGGGATGATGGGAATTGTAGTCTTAAAACATCTGGAGGGCCGAGTTTGCCAATGCCTGGATTAGGAGATGTGGAATCTGGATGTCGCTGGACTACAACTCCCATTATCCCTAACCCCTGGCCCCCAAGGGGGCTGTTAGAGACCTCTGGGCATAATTCAATGGTTCTGTCAGTCCTCCAGGGGCCCTTCCTCTGTATCACACTGTGATCTCTATGACCAGCAGGAAAGCTGCCTTAATTTACCCACCCATGCACCATATGCATGTTGGTAACATTTTATCAATTTATTTAAAATATCTGTACGCTTGCCTTTCCACCTCTTAACAAAGCTGGATCTTCAAGGAAACCTTTAAACAACCCCTAGTGAGGTTCATTACTTCCCTATTGTCGGGGAACTCCATTAAGTATGTGTTGAATGCACCAAAAAGCCATTTAATTTACCTGATCTTTGGTGGCTAGGTCTTAGCTGGTAGAGGAAGAAATAATTCTTCAATTCCTGTTTGTCTTAAGTGGTTCTTCAGTGTCTTTGGCCGAAAGAAAGTGGATTTTTAAAAATCTGCCCACACTTCTTTAGCTAAAGGAGTAACTTAGGCTCAAATTATAGGCTATGGGGAGACATGCAGTAGACACCTGACACACTGCTCACCGTTATTATTTGATATATGTGACATCATGCTAGCTTTTGCCTCTCCTTCTAAGCATTAGGTGAACACAGTGGTGTGATGTGCAGGAAGATGCTAATGTTGTCCCATCACATCATTCATTTTTTTGATTACGTGTTATCAGGGAGATGCAGGAAACACCCATTCATTTTCCCAGAACCTGTAGTTTGGGCCTGGTTTCTGACGAACAAAGGGCTTTTGTTTTGTTTTTACAAAAAAAAGTCATATAAATTTTAAATAAATAAAATCACAGGCCTGTGGTTTTTATCTCTTACCTGAGAGTGGTGCTAGGTGAATTAAAAGGCACAATTGCTTCACTATATATATTGCTGTTCCGATGCAGTCATGGTCCAGGCCTTCATAGTTGTGTTTATTTTAGGTTTTGCCTCAAGAACTGCCCACCCAACGATCTGGAGTGTGCCTTGAGTCCTTACGCCTTGGAATACAAATTTATGTCCCTCCCGTTTGGCATCGCTGCCAATCAGGATTTAATCCGACTAGTTGCTTACACTGAAGACGGAGTGATGCACCCGAGGACAACTTTCCTCATGGTGAACGAGGATTTGACAATTCCTTTTGCACTCAGAGATGAGAACTTGAAAGGAGTGGTTTACACCACCAGGCCTCTGCGGGAACCAGAGACGTACAGGATGAAAGTCAGAGCTCTGTCTTACAGTGTCGACGGAGCCATTGAATATCAAACAACCTTCATCGTTTATATAGCCGTGTCTGCCTATCCATACTAGGAAAAGCACTGCCGACAGTAATCAAAGTATGTTAATCACATGCCTATGTGCCGCTGGGTGTCACCACTTCCAGAATCACTGTCCCTTATCTTAAAACAGACCTTGCAACTTGTGGGGGGAGAATGGTGCTATGATCTATCCTTATTTCCTTCCCTCTGGCTGCCAATCTGTTGCCATCATTCCATCTTGACAAAAATGACCATAATCCACGATTCCTTGGAATCTTAACCACTTGCTTTATTTATTACACTGGAGCAGTCACTTCTCAAAGATTGTTCTGCTGACTCAGAACTAGTTAGAAGTTCTAATTAGGCGGTAATTTGGTGGTCCCAAAGTGGTAGGCAAGTATCTCCTTGATATGCAAAGAGAGCAAAATTGCCACAAAGATTTTGAAAAGCTTAAATGTTTTTGCTGTCCTCGTTGTCTTTTCTTACCACATTGAAAAACACAATTTTCTTGATATTCACAAACACTAAAGTAAGACACTACTAATGTGTCAGCTACTAGCAGGTATCACCACTGAGGGCTATTACACTCATTACACAGAAGCAAACTTTGCACAAAGCCCCAATTTGCAAATTGGCAAGGTGGCCCCACAAACAAAGCTCCATTCTGCATTGGAAACAAAGCCATGCTTCAGTACCACCACCCCATAATATTATTATGCGGGCCCTTTATCTAGTCTTCAGTGAGCAGCTAGAAGTGGGGAAGCAGAAATAGCATCCTCCTTTTCCTTCTACAGTCAAACCTTGGAACTCGGAACAGCTCCATTGCTGAATGTTTCAGTTCACTGGAAGCGAGTGTTCCGGTTTTTAAACATTCCTCAGAACTCGAACGTCCGATGCGGTTTCCACTTGAGTGCAAGAAGCTCTTGCAACCAATCGGAAGCCATGCCTCAGAATGCAAATGTTTCAGAAGTCGAATGGTCTTCCGGAACGGATTACGTTCGACAACCAAGGTTTGACTGTACTCTACAAAGGAAACAAGAAGAAGTTCTGGATTCCCCTCCTTCCCTCAGATCACATAAACGTTTCTGGTGCCACCTTAACTGAAGAGGAATGCAAACTGCCTTCTTTTCACTGTCCCAGTAAGGGGAGGTTGTGTGTATTGTCATGTGAACAATACCCAGAATTGTTGGGCTCAATCAGCCTCAAACTCATGGTTGAAGCGCAGTGTGGGCAAGTCCTTGGCCTGCCATCACAAGTACTCAACAAGCAACTGCACCCAATTCCAGCTATATGAGACATGTACCTTTGTGACACGTGTGCCTTCAAACAACTGTCACATTCACACTTAATCTTTTCAGTTATATGCTTACAAAGAACCCTTTGTAGGGACGAACAGATACAAGCAGAATCCAGGTTGGGGCCTGCTCTTGGAAGGCTTTTCTCACAGCAATTCAAGAATAGTTGAGCCCATCTGCTTTGAATTATTGTCCCCCGCTTAGTCCTTAGTACCTTAGAAAATGACTGCATAGTAACATTCCTCTTACGAGAACATTAAAATAGTTTAATGCAATACATTTGAGTTCTGTAGTACGCTTTATAAGGTGCACAGTTTGGGAACACTAAAGCAGGGAATCTGTGGTGGACTGTGCAAGCAAAGAAACACAGCTTCTTCCCCTTTAAAGGCAGAAAGAAGAAATTTGATTTGATGGAATTTTTGCCTACCCCCAAATAGGTTTCTTAAAAAGAAGAAAAGTCTAGCAAGTTTGGTCAAGCAATGTGTTAGGTGTCAATACACTGTATAAGGTGGTAACAAACTCTGGAAGTAATTTTTGCCAAGATGTATTCTATTTTTATGAAAGTATGTGTACATATATATATATAAAGTTTTGTTTGCTTGTGTGTATTTTCTATGCAATATTGAGAAGGGTTTTTTTTCCAAAAAAAAGAGAAAAAAAGAAAAAAATGTTTCTACCAAAGAGTGTTGTTTACACATGGAAATAACCAAAATAAATGTTCACATTCTTTTTTTAAATTAAATATGTCAAGACAGCTATGCTGTGTTTATTATTCAGAGTTTTCACACTACTCTTATTCCGGAGGGAAATGGAAAACAAAGGACTTCTTTGTCATATAAATTCCTTAATCTGTGTCCCCCTCTGAATTCATTTACGTTACTCCTGAAGGCTAGAGTAAAAAGGGAAGGAACTATATCATGAAGAATTATCTACATTACAAGTTCCCTACCATCTCATTTGGAGTAAGTGATGGGGAAATTCAGCATATTTTCTGTCTATCTATATGCATTTCTGTGCAGTAGAGATCAGCAAGGATGCTGTGGACTCCCCACCTTATGTCCTGCACAATGGAATGCAACAATAAATGACTCCCAAGAAGCAACAGGCACAACAATCTTTGCCCAAAAGCACCAAAATGGGGAGAGGGAGGTACGGAAGACTGCAAAAGGGACAGAAATATAAAAGATCTGCGTATCAATTTAAAGACCTGTCAGCTGCATCAGTAAAACCTTATTCATTTGATCAACTTCAGTAAACCGTTGTCTCCTAGCTGCAATCCCTGTTATAAGACCCTTGGCTCCTGCCAGTTGCTTTTCATAATGTGGAGGAACATCAGCAGAAAATATCTTAAGGTGGACTAAATTATATATTTTTTCAGACCAGCATGTTTTGATTACTTCTTCATTGGGGCACTGTAAAACAAAATTGACCTTGCCAACAAAGGTCTGTATAGTTAAAGCTATGGTTTTCCCAGTAGTGATGTATGGCAGTGAGAGCTGGACCATAAAGAAGGCCGATCGCTGAAGAATTGATGCTTTTGAATTATGGTGTTGGAGGAGACTCTTGAGAGTCCCATGGACTGCAAGAAGATCAAACCTATCCATTCTTAAGGAAATCAGCCCTGAGTGCTCACTGGAAGGACAGATCCTGAAGCTGAGGCTCCAATACTTTGGCCACCTCATGAGAAGAGAAGACTCCCTGGAAAAGACCCTGATGTTGGGAAAGATGGAGGGCACAAGGAGAAGGGGACGCCAGAGGACGAGATGGTTGGATAGTGTTCTCGAAGCTACCAGTATGAGTTTGACCAAACTGCGGGAGGCAGTGGAAGACAGGAGTGCCTGGCGTGCTCTGGCGTGCTCTGGTCCATGGGATCACGAAGATTCGGACACGACTAAATGACTAAACAACAACAACAAAATAACACACTGTTTTCTGTGAGTTCTTTTTCAATTATTGTTGAAATGCATTGTGCTGAATAAAGTATAATTTGGTGCAGCCTTGTAAATACACCGACACCCCCTTACTTGCCTGGAAGAAAGAGTACTAGCCTACTTAGGGTGGGCTGAGAAAGAAGAGGCAGCCCCCCCTCCTCCAGCATCCCTCTGTATTTTGTGATGGCCTTTAAAGGGGTGGCATTCCCTCCTTTGATAGCACACACCATTTCTGCTGAGTGCAGAGGAGACATGGAGGATCTCTCCTTTGCCAACACTCCACATATTTGCATTAAGACAAAACACACTCATTTGCTTGGGTGGAATCCAGGGCACTCGCCTTGCATACAATTCCTCATCACCTGTGGCCACCAGGTGAGTGCTCAAATACAGGACATTTATTATGCATTGGCGCCTTCCTTCTTTGCACAACATGCCTGAGTAACAGTCAGTGTGATCGGCACGCTATTTTGGGATGCTTACATCTCAGTACAGTGGTACCTTGGTGCTCGAACGGCTCGGCTCCCCGAACAAATCGGCTCCACAAACCCGGAAGTGAGTGTTCCGGTTTGCGAACATCTTTTGGAAGCTGAACGTCCGGCACGGCCTCCGTGGCTTCCAACTGAGTGCAGGAAGCTCCTGCAGCCAACCGGAAGCCGCACCTTGGTTTTCAAACGGTTTCAGAAGTCAAACGGACTCCCGGAACAGATTAAGTTTGAGAACCAAGGTACTACTGTAGCTACTTCACTTCTCTTCATCAACTTTGGGATCCATTTTTAACACAAAAGCAAGAAGAGATCTCCATGTAGTTACTCTTTAAATGAAAAGTCACGACCCTTATTTCTGACCCTCAGTAACCAATTACAAAAGGTGAGAGAGAAAAGCAAAGCTTTTGCTGCCAGAGGGGTTTTTTTTGTTTTTTGGCTCAAGTCTATATTGTGCCAAGCATGATACATCTCCTTTCCGGTTAGGTCCAGCCTATGCTGTGCTGACTCATCTTCACACCATGCAATGCAGGCAAAGCCAGGACAAATAGTCCTTATTTAAGCACAGCTTTCATCAGCAAGCCTCCACCAATGTTATACAATGATGTCACAACACATCACAGGCAAGAGGGCACCAACATGAGCAAATGACAAATTTGGTTGCTGCCAGTGGCAGATCAAGAGCAGCTTTGGGCATTAAAGCACAAGAAATTGGAAATGTTTCATCATAACCTCACAGCCAGAGGGAAGGGTGCATGTTCCATGCGCAGAGACAAGGAATGTCTCCTGGTTGTAAACTGTCTCACATATTTTTTAGAGACAGGTGGTATATAAATCCTGCTTGCAACTAAATACTTAAAAATATCTCTCCGTCAGGAAGGTGCAAGTGCATACACTGTTTGAGATGTTAAAAGAAGCGCAAAAACAGAACGTAGATGTGATGACACACAAGGCCCTTGTTCTTCCTGTTCCCCCAGTTTTCTGTTCCCGCTGTTTCTTCATAACTTCTGACAATGCCCAAACTCTTTAGGAGATGCCATCTACAGCTTATATAGCTATGAAGACAACTAAGGTACAGCTTGTGGACTACATGTGTTGCATTCTACACACAAGCTGAAATACCCCAAGACAGCTTCACTGTCATGATTCACTGCATGATTCACTGGTCTGACCTTGTTGCCTATCAGCCAGCCTCTGGAGATGGGTGATTCTGCTATATATCTCTACATCTGATGTGGTGGTTCGTTCATGCTCAGTGCAGAAGATACAGAGGAAGCTGAAAAAGATGCTGCTTTTTCACCATATGTCTCCATTTAAGAAGGTCCCTAACCTTACCCCGCCTTTCCCCCCAAATGAGGATTGATGGCCCAAAGGAAGCATTTTGAAGGGTGTAAATCCCAGAAGCACCAGCCAAATCGGTCTCGGGGCACGATTCCCTGGTGAAGCAGGAAATGGAATTTTGGCAAAGAAATAAGAACATGCTTTAAAATATGGGCATCTAGTTAATGTCATGAGCTCAAGGAGAGCTGCTGAAAGGCCCTTTCCTAGAAAATGTACGCCGTCCCCCCATACTTTTTTTTATACCAGCATCATGAGTGCATCACCATGCTAGGAAAGCTATATTTGTTGAATATTTGGGCTATTTCTTATGGGGAAAGAATACATTTCCGACACCCTGGTAAGCATTAATGGCACTGCTCTCTGGAGGGTGACACCAGAGTTCTGCCCTACCACACAAGCCAGTATTGGTTGGTGAGGAACCAGTGACCCTCTAGATGATGAAGAAGAAGAGTTTGGATTTGATATCCCGCTTTATCACTACCCGAAGGAGTCTCAAAGCGGCTAACATTCTCCTTTCCCTTCCTCCCCCACAACAAACACTCTGTGAGGTGAGTGGGGCTGAGAGACTTCAGAGATGTGTGACTGGCCCAAGGTCACCCAGCAGCTGCATGTGGAGGAGCAGAGACGCGAACCCGGTTCCCCAGATTACAAGTCCACCGCTCTTAACCACTACACCAAGCGGTTCTCAACCTGTGGGTCCCCAGATGTTGTTGGACTGCAACTCCCATCATCCCTGAGCTCTGACTTTGCTAGCTAGGGGTAATGGGAGTTGTAGTTCAACAACATCTGGGGACCCACAGGTTGAGAAAGGCTGCTCTAGATGTTGTTGCCCTGGGAGAGCTCACTTGGTAGAGCATGAGACTCTTAATCTCGGGTTCGTGGGTTTCCACACCTTGGGCAAAAGTTTCCTGCATTGCAGGGGAGGGACTACATGACCCCTGGCCTCCTTTCCAACTCTGCAGTTCTACGATTCTATGAACTACAACAATGACAACATCAGGAGGGAGATTGGCTCCCCAGCCCTATTTTAAATGGGAGGTATGGTGCTGAGAGCCCAATACGTGTGTTTGCACGTAATGTGTGGTTACAGGGAACAAGGCACAAGTTACAGGGAACCAGGCAGAGGGCCTTCTCGGTGGTGGCACCCGCGCTGTGGAATGCCCTCCCACCAGATGTCAAAGGGAAGAACAACTACCAGACTTTTAGAACACATCTGAAGGCATCCCTGTTTAGGGAAGCTTTTAATGTTTAATAGATTATTGTATTTTAATATTCTGTTGGAAGCCGTCCAGAGTGGCTGAGGAAACCCAACCAGATGGGTGGGGTATAAACAATAAATTATTATTATTATTATTATTATTATTATTATTATTACAGATCTGTAGCCTGCCATCCTACTCAACTCATGCTTATTTGGGCAGGGGGGGGAACCCCAATGAATTCTGTTTTGAGTTGCTTCCAAGTAGGATTGGTCTGCTAAGTAGATGAATAATTGTGAAAGCTATCCATCCCTATGTAGCTGTTAAATGCTTGGGTTTAATGTGCCCTTGAAGGAATCTGAAAAAAGGTTTAGTAGTTGAGGGTGACATCCTGTGGCATATGAAATTCGCTGCCTGGATCTGCTCCATGAATCAGCTCACAATTCCACTGACAAAGATGTAGTCTATAAAGCAAATTCGCATTTATTTCAGGCTCCTATGTAAGACAAGCTCATGCAGCTACGGCTTAGAGCTCCTCCATTCATTGCTCCGCTGAGTTCTGAGTTAATGATGTTACTGTTGTTACTCTTATTATTTATTAAATTTATATACCACCCTTCATCAAAAGGTCTCAGGACAGTTCATAGAATAAAATGCAAAATAAAAACACAAGTAAATAGTTAAACCAAAACAACAAAACAATAGCCAGCCCCCATCCCACAGACACATTTAAAATGCTGTGGGACAGGTGTGGGCAACCTAAGGCCCAATCACCTTCTAAATCCGACCCACAGATGGTCTGGGAGTCAGCGTGTTTTTATATGAGTAGAATGTGTCCTTTTATTTAAAATGCATCTCTGGGTTATTTGCTGACCCCTGCTGTAGGATATTAATCCGCCACTGAGCTTTGTTGTATATGATGAGTAGAGTTGGTGGGGACCTCAGAGATAGGTAAAAGGTAAAGGGACCCCTGCCCATTAGGTCCAGTCAGGGCCGACTCTGCGGTTGCGGCGCTCATCTCAATTTATTGGCCGAGGGAGCCGGCATACAGCTTCTGGGTCATGTGGCCAGCATGACTAAGCTGCTTCTGGCAAACCAGAGCAACGCAAGGAAACGCTTTTTACCTTCCGGCCGGAGTGGTACCTATTTATCTACTTTCACTTTGATGTGCTTTCGAACTGCTAGGTTGGCAGGAGCAGGGACCGTTGCGGGGATTTGAACCGCCAACCTTCTGATCGGCAAGTCCTAGGCTCTGTGGTTTAACCCACAGCACTACCTGGACATAGTTAAATGAGAGTGACTTGGCCTATATGTTCAAGACCAACCATGAGTATCTGTAAGAACTTTTCCCTAATCACTCCAGTAGAACGGTTTGCTCAGAAAATATTGCAAAGCCTGAGAGACAACCTTGATGCAATGTTATTCCTGTTTGTGACTGTTTACATTATCAGACGTAGATGATCAGAAATAGCAAAAGATTCAAACCCCATTCACCAGACAATTATCCTGATCGGGCTCACAGATCCCCATGCCATTAATTAATTGAAACAACAACAGCCATAGAAAGGCTAAAGACGCAAATATTTATTTTCTATATATTTGCTTTTTAAGAGTTCTGTGGATTTTAATTGTATTCTATCTCCAATTTTATGATACACAAAACTTACAGAGCATTGTGATGAAGAGGTTTATCAATCTCCTTAAATAAACAAACAGACCCAGTTTGGCCATAAGCCTTCCAAAACTGCTTCAAGATCTCACTAGCTTGGCTGGTCTTGCTCCTAAAACATTACAGCTAGCTTTCCCCAACCAACCTTGGGCAAAATTTGGTGGGATGTTGGTTCACGCTCCTCATCAGGTTTTATTCTCTACTAAACAGTTGCTTGCAATATGGTTGGAATCACAAGCAACCAGACCTTTGTAACATGTAACAGGACAAATAAAAATAAGACAGCAACACAATGGTCATGTTAGCCTAAGAACCTTTCAGGTCTAGATATGCCTCCCTGCTTCTAGCTGTTCAGCTCAAAGCCTTCTCCATTTAAAATGATTATTATTGCAAGGCTCTCATTCTACGGCCAATTATCTTATGATCCTGGAATCCATGAGTCCACCCTCCAATTAAAACAGTGTGTGCCTCTTGCAGAGAAAACAGTATAACACAACCAGGGCAATGCCAACTCTGTGGCAACAGGATAAACACTAGACTGCAATTCATAGTGGGATAGGTCACACACTAAGGCAGAGAAGGCCCTCTTACTATCCATGATTTTTTAAGCTGCTTGCCCAGTAGTCCTCAAACTTTTTTCTTTGGGCCACACTTGTAGAATAAAAATTTGCTTGCACCACACTGAATTTTTAATTGATAAGAATAAGTTGGAAAGCAAAAAGGCACAACAACTAGCCGTGCTTGGTTTATAACATATTATTATTATTAAGGGACGCGGGTGGTGCTGTGGTCTAAATCACAGAGCCTAGGGCTTGCCAATCAGAAGGTCGGTGGTTTGAATGACCTGGAAACTGTACGCCGGCTCCCTCGGCCAATAAAGCGAGATGAGCGCCGCAACCCCAGAGTCGGCCACGACTGGACCTAATGGTCAGGGGTTAGACCATTCTTTACCATTCTTCTTCTTCTTCTTCTTCTTCTTCTTCTTCTTCTTCTTCTTCTTCTTCTTATTTGAATTTATATACCACCTTATACCTGAAGGTCTCAGGGCAGTTCACAGAACAATATCAGAATATAAAACCACAAAATATATAATCAAAATAAAAACAACAACAACCCAATAACCCCCCAAACCACATTTTAAAAGGGCACAGGCTGTCAATCAAATTAACCAAGGGCCTGCTTAAAATGGAACATTTTTTGCCTGGTGCCTAGAACATTCCACAGACAGGGAGCCACTGCAGAGAAGGCCTGTTCTCATGGACACAACTACTATACAATATGATCATGGGATACCCAGAAGGTATAAAACAATGCAGCTAACAGAAGAACACGAATCATTCCCAAAACAGAATTATAAATGAGTCTCTTACATATGTACCTTAAGTATGTCTACAAATTCAATGAGAGGTGTGAGCTTGCTTTTGCCGGGTAATCTCATTTATATTAGGTCTAATTTGAGACAAACAAACTCTTGTCAACACAAAGAAGACTTTTTCTTTTCCGATCTTGCCTATTTGTCAGAGTTGAAAATCCCTGCTTACAACAATATGTCATGGGGAACTCTGGAAAAATAGCCAATGCTGTTGAAGAGAGGCGTGGACACCATTTCTGGAGACATATATTTATAACTATACTGTAAAGAAATGTTTAAATTTGTCTTTGATTGTCCTTGACTCTTCCCGCCATCCTTGCCCACCTCTCCTGCCACACCCTTTGAGAACCACAGCTCTCATCGCTGGTAGACTGAGCTTGCAGTCCAATAACATGTGCTTGAAAAGGCAGATGTCACTTAAGAGGACTTATTCTAATTACCAGATACAACTGGGCAATGTGATACATCCCAGGGAAGCCCACCCATCCAGGAACTGGTCATGGATATAGCAGCAAACCATTTACATCAAGGACCAGCAACCATCAGGAACTAGGAGTCAAACTTCTCATGATGTTTATCACCTAGCCTGCAGCTACATACAGTGGTACCTCGGGTTAAGTACTTAATTCGTTCTGGAGGTCCGTACTTAACCTGAAACTGTTCTTAACCTGAAGCACCACTTTAGCTAATAGGGCCTCCTGCTGCCACTGCGCCGCTGCTGCACAATTTCTGTTCTCATCCTGAAGCAAAGTTCTTAACCTGAAGCAATATTTCTGGGTTGGCGGAGTCTGTAACCTGAAGCGTATGTAACCCGAGGTACCACTGTATATACTTTTTTAAAAAACTGGAAGGAAAGTGGGATGGGTGTGACAGAGGGAGGGAGGGAAAAGACTGAATTATTCACACATTACTCCCTGATTCCCCCCCCCCAAAAAAACCTCTGCCTCCTCTCCTTTGCTTGTTGCTGAGAAACTCAAGAAGGGAGAGTGCAGTTGTACTCTTGAACTTAAAAACGGAAAGCTTTAAAGACTCTCTCAAGGCAAATATTTAAAAATGCACTATAAACACAGACAACTGGGAAACACTGGCCTGCAAGCGCTCCAATTGGGGAATAGCCTTTACCAAAGGTGTCGTGGGCTTTGAAGAAGCACGAACTCAGGATGAAAGGGAGAAGCGTGCTAAGAGGAAGGCATGCTTGGCAAACCGTTACCGTGATCAGCTCCTGCCCGGAAACCTATGTCCCCACTGTGGAAGGATGTGTGGATCCAGAATTGGCCTCCACAGTCACTTACGGACTCACTGTTTAAACCGTGTTCATGGAAGACAATCTTATTCTGTTTTGAGTGATCGCCAGAGAAAAGAAGAGGATTAGGAACGGGGAAATCCAGGTTTAGATCCCGCTCAGCCCTAAAGTTCACTAGACCTTGGTTCATTCATTGTTCCTTATACTAGGAATAGGTTGGAGACTTACAAGGCCTTAAGCTTTCTTCAGAAATATCTGATTATGTTGCCCATTCTAGATTATATTTCAAAACAAACCTACTCAAGACATTTTAGAGTGTTACATTGGAAAAGAATGGAGAACAGCCTTTGCCCAAAGGTGTCGTGGGCTTTGAAGATGCTCGAACTCAGGACGAAAGGGAGAAGTGTGCTAAGAGGA